AATAGGAGACGTCGTTAAACCAAGTGACCTCGCGGATTCAGCACCTTTTCCTCACTCACACGAGGAAACGGAGAAGAACGTCTATGAGGAACGTACAAATAATAACCTAATAAATTGATCGATGTCTTCGGGGTAAGTATCAGTTATCCAAAACCCTTGGGACCAGAAGTGCTTTGCATTGAGTGTTTTTTTCAGATTTTGGAATATTTGCAGACTCTTAACCAGGTGAGCAACCCTCGCCTGAAAATCCAAAATGCTTGCAACGAGCACGTCCTCTTGAGCGTCGTGTAGGCGCAAAAACGTTCAGATTTTGGGTTTTCGGATTACAGGGATGCTGAACCCGTGTTCTCAAACCCTTGGGAATTTGTGTTGTGTGTGAAAGGAACAAGCCTGGGGGTCGTGGTTAACGTGTTCTAGAAATGTTCGGACTGGGAAGAAGGCCACCATAGCCTTGCCGCGGCAGCTCGGAGAGGCAGAGAGTATGTGTGTCCCCGTGACACCTCTGTGTCCCAGGGGATACCCCCAAGGGGGGGGGGACCATTTTCAGAAATTGAGCCAATGCAAGAGACGCACAAGCCAGAGCCTGTTGGCAGACACAGCGACGTGGGGCCTGTGTGTGTCACGCGAGAGACCACAGATTGGCCACGTGCTACGACCATGACGGGGGCCGCTCCACCACGGCTGCCCTAAGAGGGACAGCCAGCCCTGGGGACAGCCTCGAGGAGGAGAGGACCCCAAATGCAGCTCGGTGTCCCCCGTGCGTGCCTGGCCTCAGCCCCTCCTGCGACCCACGGCTCACTTCCCGGGGTTCCCTCTGGGGAGCAGGTGCGGGTGAGGCTCGGGAATCTGCGGTTTCTGCAAGTGCTTCCGGGCACTCCGGGCACAGGCGACATGGGGGAGGAGGAGGAGGAGGGAGGACAGAGGAGGTGGAGGCTCAGCCACCGTGAATAATGAGTCAAAACTTAGCTCACGGGGCTGGGCGTGGTGGCTCACGCCTGTGATCTCGGCACTCTGGGAGGCCGAGGCGGGAGGATCGCTCGAGGTCAGGAGTTCGAGACCAGCCTGAGCAAGAGTGAGACCCCAATCTCTACTAAAAGTAGAAAGAAATGATCTGGACAACTAAAAATATATATATAAAAAAATT